AGGTTCTGTGCATATTCATGAGACTGTGAGTGAAGGTGACTCTCCCAGTCCCTGCTCAAAACCTGGCTCTGGTGCTCCCTGCATGTAGTACACGGCCATGGCTCCAGACCCCTCCTCCACCCCCCCACTGACTCTGACCTGTCCCTGCCAGACCGACCCTGCTAACAACATTCCCCCTTGCTCCCCAAGCAATGCCTTGCACTCCCCTACTTCCACACCTTTCCTCAGGTGATGCCCCTCTGCCTGCCTGGGATGCCCTTCCCTCAGCATGAGTATTGCCAATGGTACACGTGCATGCATGCACTCACATGTGCTCACATGTGTGTACACATGAATTCTGGTGCAGGGAGTGACCAATGCTCACCCTGGCTCCCTGGTGGAGGAGGCTCCTAAGTCACACGTCTATCTGGGTGTTTCTGTCAAAGAAGGGAGTTCATGAAAGGATCACTGGGGTGTAGGCTGAGCTCAAGGCTGACAGATCTACAGAGAGGAACCTAGGACACTGTGGCCTCCGTGTGGAAACTGACAGCCCCAGGTTCTAGCCAGAATAATCATAGCTAGAATAGAGCCAAAAGGAGCCTCAAGAACAGAAGGACTGCGGTGGCTCAAATGGTGGGGGAGAGCGTACTGGGCCAAGAATCCTTTCAAAGTGCCAGGTCTTGAAAATTCTTGTGGGCAAGGCGGGGCTTCTCTGGGGCCTGATACAGCCATATTTTGGTTTCACCATCTCCCCCTGGATCCCTATGACAGCCTCCTCACTGCTCTTCCTGCCCTGTGCCCTCAACCCACCTTCCACACTGTAGCAGCCAGAGCTATCTAATACTAATCTTATATTTGACATCTCTTCCTTCTTAAAGCCTTCAGTGACTTTCCATTACCCTAAAGAAAAAGTCCAAGCTCCTTAGCCAGGCACTTAGGCCCTTCCAGTCTGGTCCCCCCTCACATCTGAGCCTCATTCCTTAAGCTCCTGCCTTGAACTTCAAACTCCAGTGATCACTTCTCTGCTCCTCTCACCTCTATGTCTTAGTTCATGCCTGCACTTTACCCAGAATGCCCTTTCCACTTCTTTCTCTCGATTCTATACAAGCATCACTTCCTCTTCTTCTTTGCCTGTCCCTAAAGATTGGACAAGGGGCTCTGAACTCTCGAAGTCTAATGAACTTCCCTAATCTCTGAACTCATCACACCAATAGTGAAATTATCTGTACTAGTATATGTGGTTATAGTCTTCATGGGACTGGAGGTTCCAAACCCAGTGATATTTGTTACATTATCGGTGATCATTAACTATTTGTTGAATAACTGAGAGGTCACTGCGCCCACTGAGGGCCAAATTTCAAGCCTAGACTACCCTCTCTGTCTTGACGTTCCTGGGGACCTCTGCAGACAGCAAAAGGAAGGGATGGGCTATCCCTTTGAGAATGTTACCACCTCGTGGCCAGACTCAGAAGTGCAGCCAGACTTCACCCCAGTGTAAATACCCAAGTGGGAGCTGGAGATATCCTACAGAACTAGGCCTGATCCATGAGCTCCAGGCTGGTTATCTAGACAAACAGAGGGGAATGGGGAGGTAGGCCCTGAGGAATGCCCCAAGCCCAGCATTGGTATCCTTTGAACATTCTTGTCGAGTTCCTAACAGACAGAATGGGAAGAGCAAAGGCTCAGAGGCAGAAGTCTCATGTTATATGGGAAGAGTGAGGCATTAGTGTGACCAGAGCCCAGGGTCCCAAGGGACCAAACCAAAGATGAGCTGAGCCATGGCAGTGACCAATCAAGGGGATCCTTTAAGGCTATCCAGTGAATTAATTTGAATCTTGCCCACTAATCTGGGCATGGGATGAGATCTGGGTGTGGTGACATACGTGGAGGCTCAATATTCATTCATTCACTCATTAAATATTTATTAAGCACCTACTATGTTCAAGATCCTCAGGTTAGCCCTAGCCTGTTTGGCTCAGTGGATAGAGCATCAGCCTGTGGACTGAAGGGTCCCGGGTTCGATTCCAGTCAAAGGCGCACGTACCTTGGTTGCAGGCTCGATCCCCTGCCCTGGTCAGGGCGTGTACGGGAGGTAACCAATGGATGTGTCTCTCTCACATAGATGTTTCTCTCTCTGTCTCTCCCCAGCCTCCTTCCCTTCCACTCTCTCTGAAAATCTATGGAAAAAAATGTCCTCCAGTGAAGATTAACAACAAAAATTAAAAAGATCGCCCTAACCGGTTTAGCTCAGTGGATAGAGCATCGGCCTGCGGACTGAAGGGTCCCAGGTTCGATTCTGGTCAAGGGCATGTACCTTGGTTGCGGGCACATCCCCAGTAGGGGGTGTGCAGGAGGCAGCTGATCGATGTTTCTAACTCTCTATCCCTCTCCTTTCCTCTCTGTAAAAAATCAATAAAATATATTTTTTAAAAAAATTAAAAAGATCCTTAGGTTACATCATTCAACAAAGCAAAAATTCCTGCTCATTTGGAGCTAACATTCTCATCAGGAGGAGACAGATAAACAAAAACATGAAAGAAGTAAATTACATTTAAAATTTTAAAAAAATGGGGGGGGGCAGGATAAGGAAAATCAGAAGCTTTGTCTGTCAGCCTGCAAACATGTTCAAATCTCTGCCAACTCATTAAAAATAAATAAAATTCTCTCTGTAGTCTACATTCCTCTCCAGCTATTTATCACCTCTCTCCACCAATTCACAATCCAACTTCTTGAAAGAGCTGTTTAGGAGTGGCATAACCTTTTCTTTTTTTAAAAAAAAATATATTTTTATTGATTTCAGAGAGGAAGGGAGAGGGAGAGAGAGAGAAAAACATCAATGATGAGAGATTGGCTGCCTCCTGCACACCCCACACTAGGAATTGAGCCCGCAACCCGGGCATGTGTCTGTGACTTCCTGATTCTTCGGTTGACGCTCAACCACTGAGCCATGCCAGCTGGGCATGCACAACCTTTTCTTAAAAAAAAAAAAAAAATGGAGGCAAATGACATACTGCAGTGGCTTTAACAATAGAGTAGAAAAAAACAAGCCCAAATACCTGAATCAGCACTTATACACAACTCAAGCTCCTTCCTAAGCTCTTTCCAACCGCTAAAGGCCTCACTTCTCTCTGCTCCCTCCTCACATTTCCTTTTCTAGGCCCCAGTTGGGCCCTATAAAAAACAAAGAGAGAAAAAGCCCCAGAATCACTAGCCATCCCTTCCTCAGCCTGTGGCCTATCTCCTGATTTCCTGAGTTGCAGACCCTGTTCTTCCCAAGAGATCTTGACCCCAGCTCAGTTTCTCTCCACACTACCCCTACCATCACCCTGGAGATCCCAAGTGGTCCTCTGATGAGGACCTAATTGGGAGCCCCTCCTAGATACCCAGAGCTTGTGATGCACCTTACTCAATCATTCCTTCAGCATAGGTCACTATGCTTATTCCACACGATCATTCCACTGTGGCCACAGCAGGGTGGATCAGGATGGGATGCTGAGCCAAAGACCAACGGTCTACAAGTAGCCTGGTTCCAAAGTTCTGGGGATCAATGACACTCAAAGAGCTGTCGATGGTAGAAGACACCAGTGGAGATGCTCAGAGAAAAGACAATATGCAGAAACTGGGAGGAAGCAAAAAACCTAGATTAGCCACAGAGAATAAGGAGAAGCCAGGCAGTTGCTGGTAGCAAGACACCTGAGTCACCACCACAGTCCCTAGGGGTATACTGGATGCTTCATGACCCTCTACATTTGAGAGGCCTGGCCAGGCAGCTGCTGAGTTTCCCCCGTCTCTCCTAATATCCCCTGAACCTCCATCATCTGCCTCTCCCTCAGGATCTTCCACATCACTCTGGGCAACATACCTTGGAAAGCAAAGGGTGATGCAGTGTTCAAAGTTTTGACCACAACCTGCTGGTCCTGTGGTCCCCTCATCCCTGCTCTAAGCCCTATTAAGGCTTCAAGTCCCCCCAACTCTGTCTTCCCCCACATCTCAACCCCTCCTGCCCGCACTCAGCCAAAAATCACTTCAACACTCAAGTTGCTGAGTCCACCCTGCTACAACATGAGCTTAGAAGAACCCTAACTTTGTGCTTTCCTGGTGACTGAACACTCAGGCTACTAGACACATTGGAGACCTCAAAATCCAGTGGGAAGACTTATCAGGAGGATCACTTCCTAAGTTATGTCTAACCAGTATGCTTTACACTTGAAACTAATATTTTGAACATCAAATGTAATTTTTTTTTAAAAATCCAGTGGGAGACCCAATTGGCTCACCTCTTCACTGAGTCCACCACTGCCCACAATCCTGCTCTGGTCCCTGCAGGCCCCTGGTTACCACTGCAATCTTTACCTCTTCCCTCATGCCTCTGACCTGAACACGGTGAATCTAAGAGTGTAAAGCCAGTGTGAGGCAGAAAAGCAGCAGCCAGGGGTAAAAAGGCAAAGATGAAACCTGGAGGGGAGATATGAGATGAAGGTATGTTTTTAAGATAAGAAAAAGCATGTTTGTAGGCTGAGTCATTAATAATTAGGCAATTAAAATTTACGTAGCACTATATGCCCAGGTAGTATCTAAGAGTTACATGTGTGTATTTCTACATTCACTCCTCATAAAAACCCTATGAGGTAAGCACTATATCCTGTTTTATGGATGAGAACACTAAGGCACAAAGCAGTAACTTACTAATAATCTAGAGGCAGAATCAGGATTCAAATCTAGACAGTCTGGTGCCTAAGACCATAATCTTAACCACTATTATATATGCCACAGACGGAGAAAAATGTCTGCCCTGGCAGAGTCCTTAAACCAGCCCAAAGCACACAGTAAACCCACCCAGGGATCTAGATATAGTCAGTCAGGTTACTGTTTGAGGCTTGTTAACGACTAGATCCTCCCAGCAATAGCCTGAGCCTACCCTTCCCGTCTCCAGCCTCTGAGCTCCTGGGGGACAAGGGCAGAGACCCCCTCCCCCTTAACCCCATTTCCACATAGCAGACCAAGCAGAGGGAGGCTCATCAGACAGACAAACGGCAGAACTTTTATTTCCTAACCCCCTCCCTGGACCTGTCTGCAGGCAGATCAGAGGCGCTGTCGATGGAAGACAGAGTAAGCCCTTCTTCAGCAACCAGAACCCAGCTGAGAGCCCACACCTGTCACTCTTTGTAGCAGCCCCTGGCATACGCCAGAGGGAAGGGGAATCAGCACAGGGAGGCCCACTGCTGTGGACTCAAGTCTTGCTGGGGATGTTGAGCAGCTGTAGAGGCTTCCAGAGAAGGCACAGCCACCCTAGACATTCAGGCTTGGAGAACAGCCTGCTCAGCTGGTCTTCAGGACCGCGTGTCTCGAGCCCTTCTTCGGGGTCGGGGGCCACAGCTGGAGCTAGGCGTGGGGCCCAGGCCAGGGGGTGCCCCTGGGGGCTGGTAGCCACTTTCATTGGGGTCCAGGGGGTCCCGGCTGAGCAGTACCCACACGGCAGGCACGTGTCGGCGCACTGTGAGGGGGTCTAGGCCCGTGTCCGGTGAGGCTGGTACCCAGCTGTCCTCAGTCTGCAGGAAGCGCAGCTTGGTCAGCTGGTGCAGGCCTGGTACCCGCCGCTTGACAATCTCGGCACAGCTGACAGCCTTCCCTGCAGCCCGGCCAGAACCCGAGAACACCACGTGTCTTGTGCTGCCGCCCTCCAAACGGCCCAGCACCAGCCCCAGCAGGTTGCGGATTTTGCTGCCGTCTCGGACCCGCATCTCCAGGGTGTCCGGAGGGAGCTGGGGCATCGGGGACGGCGCCGGGAGGTCCACGGAGCCGGCTTTGCGGTAGTGCTCCATCCCGGGGCTGCTGCCTGAGCTCACTGCCCGCTGCAAGGAGAATCGGGTGAACGCGCTGCAGTGGGCCCCCGGCCACCCGCACCCTGGCTCCCCCGGACGCAGCCTGTTCCTCCTCCCAGATCTCCAGGAACAAGACCAAGGGCCATCCCGGCCTCGCCTTGGGAAGGGCGGGACCCCATACACCCCATCGCCCCGGACAGGCCATAACCCTCCCTCGGCCCGAGACTGAACCAAACTCCCGGAACACGGCCCTTTAAGGAAGGTCCCAATCCCTCAAGCTCCGAGGCAGAGGGGAGCCCTCGCCAAAATGCTCCTCGTGGGAGGGTGCGTGGGTGGAGAGAGCAACCAAAGGCCTTGTGTGTATATACGCATAAGTCACGGGCACAGACATAGCGTGGGAAGGCCTGGGCGGGGCGGGCTCGAA